TGGTATCTGGCGGTGGTTATGGTGGCAGTCAGTGGTTATGGTATCTGGCAGTGGTTATGGTGGCGGGCGGTGGTTATGGTGGCTGGCAGTGGTTATGGTGGCTGGCAGTGGTTATGGTATCTGGCAAAAGTGGTTGCGGTGGCAGGCGGTGTTGGCGGTGGCTGGTGGCAGTGGTTATGGTATCTGGCAGTGGTTATGGTATCTGGCAGTGGTTATGGTGGCCGGCGGTGGTTATGGTGGCGGGCGGTCGTTATGGTGGCCGGCGGTGGTTATGGTGGCGGGCGGTGGTTATGGTGGCGGGCGGTGGTTATGGTAATACGGCGTGGTTATGTATGGCGTGGCGTATATGGTGGTTTAAGGTGGTTATGGTATCTGGCAGTGGTTATGGTATCTGGCAGTGGTTATGGTGGCTGTAAGTGGTTATGGTATCTGGCAGTGGTTATGGTATCTGGCAGTGGTTATGGTGGCTGTAAGTGGTTATGGTATCTGGCGGTGGTTATGGTGGCTGTAAGTGGTTATGGTGGCTGTCAGTGGTTATGGTATCTGGCGGTGGTTATGGTGGCGGGCAGTGGTTATGGTATCTGGCGGTGGTTATGGTGGCTGGCAGTGGTTATGGTATCTGGCGGTGGTTATGGTATCTGGCAGTGGTTATGGTTGCTGGTAGTGGTTATGGTGGCTGGCAGTGGTTATGGTGGCCGGCGGTGGTTATGGTATCTGGCGGTGGTTATGGTGGCCGGCGGTGGTTATGGTGGCTGGCAGTGGTTATGGTGGCTGGCAGTGGTTATGGTGTCTGGCAGTGGTTATGGTATCTGGCGGTGGTTATGGTGGCAGTCAGTGGTTATGGTAGCTGGCAGTGGTTATGGTGGCGGGCGGTGGTTATGGTGGCTGGCAGTGGTTATGGTGGCTGGCGGTGGTTATGGTATCTGGCGGTGGTTATGGTGGCTGGCGGTGGTTATGGTGGCTGTCAGTGGTTATGGTATCTGGCGGTGGTTATGGTATCTGGCGGTGGTTATGGTATCTGGCAGTGGTTATGGTGGCAGTCAGTGGTTATGGTATCTGGCAGTGGTTATGGTGGCGGGCGGTGGTTATGGTGGCGGGCGGTGGTTATGGTATCTGGCAGTGGTTATGGTATCTGGCGGTGGTTATGGTGGCCGGCAGTGGTTATGGTGGCAGTCAGTGGTTATGGTATCTGGCGGTGGTTATGGTGGCCGGCAGTGGTTATGGTATCTGGCAGTGGTTATGGTGGCTATCGGGCAGTGGTTATGGTATCTGGCAGTGGTTATGGTGGCGGGCGGTGGTTATGGTATCTGGCGGTGGTTATGGTATCTGGCGGTGGTTATGGTGGCCGGCAGTGGCTGTGACGGTGAGGTTACCTTTATTCTGAAACCAGAATCAGCTCTGACCAATCACAGGCAGCGCCGGCTTTTTACGTCATAACTCCGCCTCTTCCTTTCTGCGTCTCACTCAGAGAGCCGGCAAAACCAACTGTGATTGGATGAAATTTATACTGAGGTCTCCGGTGATTGGCTAATGGTTATTTATATCCTCTCCTGTGATTGGCTAGAGGGTATATAGCTATATATCTATCCTCTCCTGTGATTGATTGGTTAAAAACACTCCTTGTCCTCCGATTGGCTGAAATCAGAAATGACGCACCCATGAGCCCGGCTAGATAGTGACCCCGCCCACAGATAGTGATACGCGCTCTGTGATTGGCTGCTGCTGCCAGAGCTCTCTCCTCATTGGCTGCCCTGTCACAGCGAGTTTCCGGAAGACGTGGCGGCTCCTCTGCATCTCCCGGCCGGATCCCAACTCAGACCGAGACCGGAGCCCCAGCAACACCGCCCGCACCGCCAGCCAGAGAGAGAGAGAGAGAGAGAGAGAGAGAGAGAGACAGAGACAGAGCCAGAGCCAGCCATGATCTCCCTGAGCGACACCCAGAGTGAGTAACCTCCTCCTCCCCCCAATATAATAATAACCTCCTCCCCCCCAATATAATAATAACCTCCTCCCCCC